GGGTGGCGACGGCGGCCTCGCGGTCCGCAAGGTCTTTCTCCTTCGCGTCCAGGGCGCGGGCGCGCTCCTCCAGCGCCGTGGCGCGAGCCTCAAGGGCCTCTTCGCGCTGGCGGGACGCCGCCTCGTTCTCCGCCGCCCGCCGCTCCCAGGCAGCGGCGGCGTCGAGGACTCCCCGGGCGGCGTCGCGCTTCTTCTCTAGCTCCGCCGTCCGGCTCACGTATTGGAGGCGGAGGTCGTCCCGCGCCTCGTCGAGCACGGCGGCGGCGATGAGAGCGGTCTCCCGCTCCTCCTCCACCTCCCTGGCGATCTCCGCCAGGCCCCTACGACGGGCCTCAAGCTCTGAGGCGTGCCGGCGGTGTGCCTTGCGGCCCGCCTCCACCATGGCCTCGACCGAGCGCCGCCCCTCCTCGACGCACGCCCACGCCGCGTCGAGCTCCGCCCGCTCTGCCTGCAGGACCTCCATCTGGGCACTTAGCCCGTCCAGCACCGTGGTGTTCACGGCGGCCAAGGCCTGCAGGAGGGGCTCCGCGCTCAGTGGGGCAGCGGAAGGTAGAGGGGAGAGCCGCCTCGGTGTGGGTGCCGCGCGGCTCGGCCCGCCGATCGACGTGCCGGACTCGGGGGCGTCCCCCGAAGCTGGCTCCTCCCGAGCATCGCCCGAGGGGTCAGGCCCGAGCGGCGCGCTCGCGGCCTCGTCGTGGGTGGCCTCGGAAGTCGTCGTCGCCTCGGGCGGAGTCGGGTCGGGGGTTTGGCAGGCCGCCTGGCGTGCGCGCGCCGCCTCCTCCTCCCGGGCGGACTCCCCGGCCCGGCGGAGTCTGGCCTCCTCCCGAGCGGCCTCCTTAGCCTGACGAACCCGGACGGCCTCCTGGGCTGCCTCCTCGGCTTCCCGGAGGTGGTCTGCGGCTTCTCGCCGGTCAGCTTCGCGCCTCCGGGCCTCCGCGGTCGCCGTCTCCTCGGCCTCGGACCGGCCGGACTTGGAATGGCGGGGGGGGGGGGGGGCGATGGGATCTCGCTGAGGCAGAAGAAAAACCAGAAGGCAAAAAGAAACGGGTGAGTGAAAACTCGCCTTGGGAGATGGAAGAACGAATATGGCCGCGATGGGCGCGGGAACGAACCTGCGAGGAGGTCAGCTAAACGACCACCTTGGGGGCGAGATGAGGTCCCCCCCGGCATGGCTCGGTCCCCCCCATCTTGCGGAGCCGCTTCTTCTTTCGCTCCCCCTCGGGCTGCGGCGACGGCGCGGCACCCTCCGGGCGCCTGCTGCTGGCACGCACCGCCCCGCCCCCTCGGGGAGGAGATGGGGGGGCGTGCCCTCCAGCTTCCTCTTCCCCCGGGCGTCGGCAGGGCGGCTGCCCCCCGGGCCCCCGTCGCGAGGCCCAGAAGCACGACCCCTTCCCGGGGTAGATTGTTCCCCCCTACGGCTCCCGCCCGCGCCATCGTGGCCTCGGAGGGCCCGCTCCCCCGACGCCCCGACCGTCTGCATGATGGTCAGGATGCTGGCGCGATCTGGATCGCTGTAGAGGGGGAGGATACCTTGGGGGATAAGGGATGCCTCCACGGAGCTGAGATTCAGCACCCGTTGGACCACTATCCTGAAGTCCTCGGAGTCCCAGTCCCATTGGCGCCCCTGGTGGGTCCTCATGATGTCCTCGGGCCCGGTGTACTCCCAGGCGCCCCGGGCGCGCCGCTGGAGCGGCGCGATCCGGCGACGAAGGTAGTCGCCGAACACCATGGCCCCCGTGAGCCCCTGGGATCGCAGACCCGCCAGGCGGTCGAAAACGGCGTCGTAGCCGTCTCCCAGATCTACCGTCGCCCGCCAGCTGGAGGCCTGCGCCGGGGGCTGGCTCGGAAGTCGGAGGCGCGCTTCGTCGGCGAGGGGGGTGTAGAACCAATCGCACTTCCAGTCGTCCCACTTCTTGGGGAGGACGCAGGGAATGTAGCGTTGCAGCACCTGCCCCCGCGGTTGGAAGTAGCAGCCACCGACTACCGTCGGCGGCGACACCGGCTGTACGGTGAAGAACCACCGGAACAGCTGGAGAGATGGGCGCACCCCGATGAACATCTCGCACAGGTGCGCGAAGATGGCCAACGTCATTATCGCGTTGGGGGTGAGGTGCGCCATCTGGAGATCATAAAACTCCAGAACATCCATGAAGAAATTAGAGAATGGCGGGACCAGCCCCGCCATTGCGAAAGAGAGGAAGAAGACGGACCGCCCCGGGTAGTGTGGCGCCGGGCGTCCCTCGCCCAGCTCGACCACCTCCCGGCCGGTGGCAGATTCCGGCATGAATTGGCGCGGCAGCCCGGCCTGCCTCTCGCTCACGATGCAGGAAGGCGGCAGCACGCTACCGTCAAGCAGTGCGGAGCCCCGTGCCATGACGCCGGCGGAGGAGGAGCTTGAGAGCGAGTGAGTGCGGCAAGGGTAGGGCACAGGAAACGAAGAGTTAGAGCTCAAATGGCGGAGGCAAGGGGAAGAATGGCGAGAGGAAGGAAACGAATCTCTTCCTCGGCGTCTTTATACCCTTGCCAACGCTATTCCCGGCTCCTCGTTTCCCGCGCCTACTACCTCGCCCCCTCGTTTCTCGCGCCCACGCCTCCACTAACCCAACTCGTCCGTTTGCGGCGCACGAGGCAGATGTGCGGCCGTAGCAGTTGAGATGGGACAGATCGTGCACGCATTAATCGCGCTCGCCAAACGCGAAGATCGCCATCATCATGTCTCCAGGCGAAACGAACCGGCTCGTCCCGATTCGCGCGCTGCTCGAGTAATGTAGCGGTCTTGAAGAGACCACTTATTATTGTCGATCGGTTTTCCCTTGCCGATGTGCGCGATTTGCGACCGCTGGGTTTCTGCCCGCCTGAAGAGACCGGCCCCACCTGTCACCAGACCTAAGGAGTGGCGTCACGACCGAGCGTTTCCCTCCAGGGGGGCGATCGCCCTGGCGTAACGCCGGGGGCTACTGTCGGTGACATGGGACCGGGGGTATCATGACTAGAGGATTGGGCAGCCGCGGTCACCCACGTGGCCCGACCCCCTCGGGGGGGTCGGGCCCGAGAGTGACGTGGCCACCCCTCCCTCTGTCTCCCCGAGGGGTCGGGCCGCTCCCGTTTCGGCCCCGAGGGCTGGGGCGCCCCGACCCCCTGTGGGATTGGCACCACGTGTGTGGGTTAGGTGAGCACAGCGGCGCTCACCTAACCGCATTTACTGCGGGTTGGACGAGCGCGCCACGCCGCATTTAATGCGGCGCAGCGCACGCTTATCCGGTCCGTGACCGGTCGCAGTGTGTGACCGGTCACAGACCGATCAGATCGCGGGTTAGGTGGCAACAGGCGGCCTGTCACACGCCTCGCCCCGTCCCGTCGGAATGATGAGAGCCTCCAGGCGCTCGTCCCTAGCCGGAGCCGGCGTGCTAACCCTGGAGTTGGTATGTCAGTCCCGGCCAGATACATTCCAGGCTTCATCGCAACCATTGCAAGGAAGTCATTGTATGAAGAAGGGCAGACGTGCAGCATGCTAAACTGACGTGCGGTGGACAAGAATGACCGGTTTGTGATTGGTCTGACGCCGGTCACGTCATTGGCAGGCAACCATGCTCCCACGTTGCATCTGCTTTCAGCGGAGTGGAGGTACGTATGACCCATCCCATCGGAGGGTCATCCGGACAGCGGCCATCGCAAATCTTCGCCCATTAATGAAGGAATAACAGGGTTGTCCCCTGTGTCGGGCGAGTGACGGCGCTGAGCCTCACTGAAGGACAAGCTGTGATTTAGTTTCCGGGCGAAGGCGCGAACCAAGTTTTGGTCAAGATAGGGTGGGTCCCCATCCTAAAGAAGAGTAGGTAGGAGTGGTGCATGTGGTATCCCCTTGAGATATAAAAGGAGGACCTTGCCCACCGAATGGGGGTTTGGTTGATTCGAACTCCGGCCACTTGGTTCCAGAGCCTGAACTCTCTCTCGCTCTCGAGCTCTCTGTAACTCCTTCATACACAGATCCACCAAAACACAGGAGTAGGGTATTACGCTTCTCAGCGGCCCGAACCTGTCTACGTCGCCCGTGTCTTGCGCGATTCTTCTCGCTGACATCCTCAGATCGACGAGGGCGAAGAACCTCACTTAGCGCCCCCGGCCGAACCGGCAAAGGGGGGCCTGCGCGGTCTCCCGGTAAGGAGCCCCAAGCTCCGTCAACTGTAGTAGTCAATTAGACGTGGTTGTAGCTAGGAGGGTGGTAGTGGTGGCGAGATGGACCTGGGGAGGGCAGTAGTGGTGACGAACCGAAGTCATGGAAGGCGGTCCCCCCCGGAGCAATTAGGCAAGCCCAACGGGAGAGGACATTGACACCGTACCAAAGCTCCGCCCTCTCCTGCCACTCCCCCATCGGTCTGTAGTGCGAAGTGCACGCGTCCTCGAAGCCAACTAAAGACGGTGCTGGTGGGCACCCTCACGAATCCCAACCCCACTCTTCCTCAGGTTCGAGACGGAAGGAAGCAGCACGGAGATGGAGCTCCTAGGCTCAAGACGAGAGGACAACAGTCGCCGTTTGTTAGGGATGACATGCCCCTCCCCACTGTTCGTCTTCTCTCACCCTTCCTCGGCTCCGCCTCACCACTATCGCCACCCTTCCCGGGCTCCATTTCTTTTGGAAGGTGATAGAGGAGGAACATAGAGAGAGAGAGTGGAGGTGAAAAAGAAGATGAGATGAGTAGGAAGTCGCTGACATGTGAATTCCACCTGTTGACCTATCGAGTCAACCTACCATGTCAACAGAAAAACCGTTTCCCGCACCACCAAGGATGCGAAGTAGACTTATTTTTCACCACACTACAAAGCTGAGTTTGAAACTGACCTCAAAAGTGAATGTACATGCGTGTGCGGGGTCGCATGTTCAGACAGCCAGGCCTAATTCCCGGCCCAAGTTCCGGCCCATCCCCAGTTCACTCCGATGCCAGCCATTATGGCGGGATGCGTGAAATACCAAAATATTTTTTTCCCATCTCCCTCGCGAGGGTTCAAACTCCTCCCCCAAAATCCAATCCCCAATCCGCGCCGCCCCCATTCGTCTCCCCTTCTTTTCAAATCCCCTCTCCTCTCCTCTCTCCTCGCCGCCACCGCCTACCTACCTCCGCCGCAGGAAGCTTCCAGAAGGTTCCGGGAGGCCGCGGCGGAGAGGCTTCAGGTGAGCTCTCCCCTTTGCCTTCCTCTCCAGTCTCCATCCGGTCGAGATTTGACCCCTCGCTGCCGAGCCCACCGACGCTCGCCGCCGTCGAGATCCCAGCTGCTCGCTCGCCTCCTGGGCCGCCCAGCCGCTGGATCGGGGTCTTTGCTGTTGATTTTTCTTTTCATGCCAAATGCGGGGGCCATGGTTAGGGTCTAGTGCCCAATGGCGGCGCGCCGCGGTTTGATTCGAGGGCACTGCACTGCTGCGAGTTGCGCAGCTCAGATCCAATCCTCTCACTTGCTTGGGATTTTTATGAACTAGATCCATACCCAACCTGCTAGTGCAACTGCTAGTGGATAGTAACAAATTTGCTCTAACTTAAACGGTTTTTTTTTTTTGGTCACATGGTTCTTCCTTTAGGGGTACAGGTTGAGGGAGAGGAAGGTATGGTTTGGTGAGTCACAGGAAGGGATGCGGAGCTAGAAGATTGGAGGCTACAATGGCTCAAGCCGCTGTTCAATCTTCTCTGAATGGTGACTTGTTGATTGGGAGGGCCGCGGGAGTTCCGAGGATGAAGAGGAAGACCCCCTCTGAACTCAGAGTAATTTGCCTTTAACCTTTATATGTGTCAACTATGCCTTCTTTATTTTCACCATGATGTGATATTAGATGAGATATTTGGTGAAAATGTGTGTGCGGTTTCAAGAGATTTCCATTTGATAAAAAAGTATTCTCTAATACTGTTCTGTTCCAGATACCAAGAATGCACATTAACTATACTTTGTATAAGCAAACCTGCAATATTTAAGGACAATTCATATCCTTGCAACTTTCCATGGTGCAGCCCTGATGCAATGAGCATGATATGTTATGCCATATGAAAAGACTGACGAAGACCATTCCCAACGCATCTCAAAAAATTACTATATCATTTTACTGCATCAAGTGATATTTGTTTTACTTAGCTAATGCTAGAGAAGAGTAATAACATAGTCACTTCAAACTGCATTTAGGATAACTTCTGTTATATATGCATGTTTCCTTTCCATGGCTGAATTGTTAATGACAATTAGTTCAATGGAGGCCAGTGTAAGCACACACATTACTTATTGCTGCTCTCTTGAGTGCTGCTTTAGGCATAAAACAGTACAGCTGCTTATGAATGCTGAAAATGTTCCGATAATTACTTATTGCAGGGAGAGCAATTGAAGCGGCGTGCTTCTGACAAGCCTGCTAATGACCAATCACTCCATTCTGCGGCATTTGATAGGTAGCTAATCTGCAATCTGTTTTAGTGATGTTCCACTTTGCTTGTATGAAAAACTTAATAATTCTATTATCGCGGTGTAGGGCAAGCAATGGGTTTCGGAACCCAGAGCAATCAAAAATATCGAAATACATCAGTACTCGTGTTACAGAGGTGTTCCCAGTAAAAAAATCTAGAAACCTTGGAAAGGAAAACTTCAAGGTCAGACATTGTGACATCATTCACTTTTATGGACCTTAAATTGTTCAGTGCTAAATGCCACATCTTGAAACTAGGATGCTTTGCAGAATAATGAGAAGGCTCCCAAGTCTGCTGATGCTGTGACAACTTCTGATTTTGCATCACCTTCACTCCCATGGTAATTATTTGACTGGATAATTTTATGTACTTGATGTTTTGCATCGTGTTTATGTTCTTATGTGGATTGTTTTTGCGAAAATTCAGTGGTTATGGTGACTCTGCTAAGTTGGACTCTGCTGTTCCATCACATACTGAGGCAGCTAAACCAAGTTTTAGGAAAGTTGAGAAATGCAGTGAAAATGCTTTGCGGAGTGTATCTGAGCTCCATATTGGTGATGAGCAGCAGTCTGGCACTAATAAATTTGATATGGTAAGGAGCACCAATCTATCTAGATCATCTTAGTATATGTTGTTTGTGTGCTAATATTTCTAATGCTTTTTGATAGGAAAAAGTACTCAAAGGTTTTGGAGCTCGTGATGCTTTTGTGGCCTCTAAGCTCACTGACCCAAACATACAAGTTGGTGTTGTACCCTCGAAATCTTTGGATTTGTGCCCTTCTGAGATCGCTGTTCCAGGAAAAAGAGCTCCTTTGGATCTCACCCTGAAGACTACTTTGCAATTTGTTTCATCATCTTCTGTAAAGTGGTGGGTATTTTACTCTTTCTTGCCCTTTCAGCTTGTCAGTTGGATGACATATCCATCTCAAAGTAACAGTTGTCTGTTTGCTTGAATTGGTAGCATATCTTAAACCTGTAACTATAACCTCCTTGAAAACAGGTTTCATTTTAGGTCTTAAACATGGCATGCTAATATACTCATAGAACAAGGAATAACAACTTAGTTTTCCGCGCACATAAATCTAACACCAGTATTATATTTAACCCAAAAGAAAGATGACAGGCATTTGCAAAATTGAAATTATATATATATTTTTTAAAAAGCATCTGGTTTGAAATGGCAGAGTATTTGGCAAATGGTTATGCACCATTATAATACCTCAAATAATATTACATCTATAGTAGTCCCAATAGATGGCATCTACGAATTAGGGGAATGGAAATCAAAACTTCTGCTTTTGGAGTGTTATCATGAAATGTGGCTGTTTTCATTTGAGGTTTTCTGCATAGAAGTGAAAAATTCTCCTGTCAATAACTCTTGTATGTTACAGGTGTCACAAGATAAGTACAAGTTTTGGTAGGAGCAGCATTGTAGGACCCATTGCCCAAAGTTATCATCATGGGTGTCAAAATTCAGGATGCTCAAGGCCTGAGAGAAACAAGGAATTCTTGTTCTCAAAGGCACTACAATCATGGGTATATCCACAATCCTTGTTGCCTGCTTCCATCATATCTGCAATGGTATCATCAACTGTACGAGGAGGTAATATCAAAACCTGAAACAATCCTGTAATGTTTTGTGGATGTAACTAAAATGATATATTCCTCTGGTCATGTAGAAAGTGATTTTCTCCTCAAAAGGCATCAGGACTGGGAAGATTCATTTCAGAATCTTTACTACATGCTCCGGAAGAATCTGTTGAATATTTTTTATGGTATTTTCATGCTCCTTGAATCCAACTGATTCATAGTAAGCTACATAGTTGGAAAAATGTAATATTATGGCATTTGTTTAGTGTTTCACATGGTCTGCTTGCTTTTGTGCTGTTGTGCACTAAAAAAATTGCTGCTGCAAGGTTTTTATAGCAAAAAGTTTAGTTGGACACGATAGTTATACAATAAGTAAAAACACCATCTATCTAAGGAAAACTATGAATTTAAATTTAGTGCCAACACATGTGCCTTTTGCTCAAGGCCTCATTTGCAGTTTTCAAATATGAGATGTTTTATTAGACTATCTCTGAATTACTCATTAATTACAATGAACATTTGCTTTATTGTTCTAGTTTATACGCCACAATTTGTTGCTCTCTTCATCGGTGGAAATTGTTTGGACAAGAAGCAGACCTGTAATGCGTACCTATCACAATCAACACGTGGGATACGATCATTGCTGCGAAGACATGTGAGTTCTTTCTGTTTCTCTATGCAATTACAATTCGCAATGCACACATTCTCCTCTTTTTTTTTTCATAAATAAGACAAAGCACTACATTAATCTGTTGTTGCTGATCAACCATTCTGTGAGGCGTGGTTTGACTATAGCATCGATCCATTATGTTTAGGCCTGGTTTGAGTAAAGCATTCATAAGTGATTGTCCTTTTTCTGAAAGCAACTTCGGTAGTTCAGTTTGTTGTTTGAACTGAATTAGTTTTCTATAGTTGTTTAGTATAATTATGAACCGAGACATGATTTTGGTATTATGATCTCTAAAGGCATCAACTGCTGGAGGCAATTCAATCTTAAGATCCCATGCCTTTTCAGCTTTGTACTAGCTTTTAGGAATTGTTGGTTGCTTGGTATCATTAACCATAGTACTTTGCATTGTTGCAGGGTGTTTGTTTTTCTATGCCTCTTTGCAACACTGAAGTGGAGCAGGTTACAGAGGATGACCTGATTGAACTTTCAGAAATCCAAAAGCGCAATCTAGGCCAGGTTTCATTTTGCCCTCCTATCATTTCCCTTGTTTGTGTTAACGGGGTTGCAGCTACTGACTGGTTGTCAATAAAATTGTCCAACTTGCAGGCGCTCCACATTGACGCTATGTCTGAAGTCGACAACACCACACAATCGCTTCTTTCATTTGTGGGCAATAAGAGTGTTCATGGTTTATATGACTTCTTGTTGAACTACAAGTAGGTTGCTTAAAACCTTTGCTGATCATCCTATTACAATACTCCCAAAATTTTCTAGCTGTATAACATGTTCTTGTTGTTTTCAGGTCATTCTTAAATTCTCTATCTGCCACAGATATCCCGGTGTTATATTCCCCGGTGCCGTTTCAAAATGGCTGCCTCCATATTCCAGAGGTAATTTGACTCGTTTCATTTCTGTCAACTTAAAATTTCTCCCTGCTATCATATGGCAAGTTTCAGTATTCTCATTTTTTGTACCAGTTCACTTCAAGTATTTTCATTAAAACCTTTCTGAAAACTATGTGTCTAACTGTCTAAAGGTTGCCCTGTACAATAGTAAAGCTGATTTAGAGGTCTGATCTTCTGAGCACGCTTTTGCAGGTGAAATGCAAGGAGATGAGGAAGGCAGATATAGGCCTGGTTTCAGGTGGGTTTGATGCAGGAGAGCCTGGATCTACTTTCGCTTCTTTAACGGGCAATATCTGCTATAGCATGGAAATAAAGGATCCCGTACTTCCTCCATGGGTTGTTTCTGGAATCTGCGCTGCAATGAGCTCTGATGCAAATAGCTTCGATTTAATGTACGTGCCATCATCTTCCCCGATGCAGTTTCTCCACCTCTTGCCATGTGTTAAATAAATCATTCTCATTTCCTCTTTCAGGATGGCAACAGAGCCTTCGTCGATGGGCTTAAACGCTGCCTTGAGCTGCGTAAGCTCAAATTCCCAGTCCAAGGCACATTCCTCTGAAGGCTGTGAATCATTGGGCATCCCTGAGGCCACATTGGTTCCCTCCTTGCGATCTGCATCTTCTCTGCGGCGCCTCAGCTACAAGGATGGCGAGTACATCGCATACACAACGGTGTGAGCTACAACGCAACACCTCGAAGCCATAGCTGGGAAGCAAGACAAGTACTCCTATTCCAGTCAAGTGCAGCCACTTTTGATGTTCTACGACTACCAATGGGGGTTCTATCTGGTTGAGCTCCTCCCGTCAAGAAGCCTCAATGCCTCGTCCATGAGACAAGCAAGGCAGGCAGGCAGAGAAGCTGTTAGCTGCTGCTGGTTTTGTGGTTTTTTTTGCAAGGCAATGTGTCCAGTATCTGGAATCATCTAACTGTTTTTGGGTGAGCCTGTAGATTATCTACAGGACAATGAGCTGCTCTTGAATGGTGCAGTAATTTATGGGATTGTACAGTGTATTTGATGCCCTTGACAGTGCATCCTTCGATGACTGATGGGGGGGGGGGGGGGGGTAGTGAGGAGGGGGAAGTGACTCTTTTATGGCGTTCTCTGCTGTCATCCTCTCTAGTCTGCAAGATAATTGCGCTTGATCTTTAACGTTGCAATGCAATTTAGCCTGTGATGAACTGTCCAAATCCATATACACGCGGCCACACGCCGCGCACAACCCCGCAAGCCAGCATGGTTTAAGCAAAATTCTATTAAACACAAATTAGTACCGCTGATTAAAAATAGCCCCTTCATTTCATTTCATTTTAAAGGCTAATCTCATAACGTAGTATATACATAACTGAAAGTTTATTACTATCAAGTGGCAATAAACTTCAAATGGAGAAACTTGTAAATATTACTGGATATCATTGGGCTGTTCAGCGAGAAAAGCATTCTCCATTTGAAGCTTCCATGATCACAAACATCATATAAACAATCAAAATCTTGTTAAAAGTTTTTCTCCTCTTTAATTAAATTGACCAAGTTTCCAAGTATAAAACGGTGAACTACATTACAGAAGTAGACATGTGTAACTAACTTTAAAAAAACAGTGAATTACTCACGTTATATGGTCATGCACAGCAACGAACATGTGCAAGCATTGGGTCCAGGCATACATATAAGTTTCACACAATTACATGGCACATTATATTAAACTACATGCTCCCATTGATTTTGACGAGCCACATTATATCATTGGGCATCCCTGATTGCGATCTGCATCTTCTCTGCGGCGCCTCAGTTACAACGATGGCGAGTACGGATGACAGTGTCCCTCTAACTTTTAAGTTGGAGGAGCTCCTTCCTGGCGAGTACATCGCATACACAACGGTGTGAGCTGCAATACAACACCTCGAAGCCATAGCTGGGAAGCAAGACAAGTACTATTCGTGTCAAGTGTAGCCACTTTTGATGTTCTACGACTACAAATGGGGCCATGGGGGTCCTATCTGGTTGAGCCCCTCCCATCAATTAGCCTCAATGCCTCGTCCATCAGACAAGGCATGCAGGCAGAGAAGCTGTTAGCTGCTGCTGGTTTAGTGGTTTTCTGAAAGGCACCGTGTCAAATATCATGAAATCGACCGGTCTGAACATATGGATGATTTAGCCCACACAACAAATCAATGCAATGTGGCATTTGATTATTTGGTTAGTATTCACTATTCAGGTGTATGCATTAAGTCTCATGTTATATGTAGGTCTAATGATATCCATTGCTTCTTGATAAGTACTGTCGTAATCCAAAAATGTAAGACAATTGGTGTTAAAGTTAGAATGTTGCTGCAGTTAGATGATATTGCCTTCAATTTTCTGAAATTACTGCTATCCCCATGAACTGGTTTATTTGGCCCACTACACAAATCAATGCTATTTGGTTAATATTTAGTAAATACATTAAGTGTCATGTTATATATTGGTCTAATGATATCCATTGTTTTATGATATTTTACAGGCGTACTCCAAAAAAGTAAGAACATTTTGTGTTGAAGAATGTTGCTGTCGTTATGTTGCTTGGGTTTTGTGAAGTTGGAAAATTAAGCTCCTAAATGTTTTTTTGTGTACTATTGTCTTTATTATACCGAAGTTATAATGTTCTTGAATAGGGCATACGCAGATTGAGGATTTATTTTCATTGAGTAACAATATTTTTATTGTACTTTTGTCCACGCATAGGGGAGTGTGGAGTTGCTATTGTGAAATTATTCAAATCCAGATTAGTATTACATAAGGATTTTACCTATTCTTGATATGTCATGCCTAAAATTGTAAGGAAATTGTATTGAAGAGCTTCCCTGTGCAGAGCTCATTGGTGCTGGAGTTTGAGCGATGGTTCTTTTGCTCTTTGAGATGTATGTTGCCTTCGCTGCTGCAAGCTAATTTTTTTCTTCCAACCACAATGATAAAGAAATAGCAATTTAATTATTATGTTTTTTTGTCACTTGGTTTTAGTGCCATCTATGAACATATGTCTCTCTTCCTCCAACTCTCCATGGAATCAAACTCCTCACCTGCTAGCCACAGCTCAAAGCTGGTGCATTGGTTTTCTCCCTGGTAGAAAATACATAATTTTCTTATTGCATTTTGTTGTTTGTTGACCACTGACTAACATCTCCATTGCTGCCGAGAACAACATCTAAGGTTTGCATGTGTACTCGCAATTCATCCTTGAAAATGTCTTGATCAGAAGTCTGGTGTGCATACTTTCTTGCGGTATACTGATCTTAGGAATTTGATTAGAGTTTTGATGCATGAAAGTAAAAGTGAGATGAAGGTTTATGCATGAATATATTTGGTCATCTTAATTTGTTTTCAGCATTGTTAATATGTATGTATGCTGTCATTTTCTCCTGAGAAAAACTCGCATAGTCTCGGTCGCCATGTATCAAGTATAGATATATGGTTTTTTTTTCCAACAGAAGTTTTGCGTACATTTTGTTCAGTGCAGTTTTCTTATATTCTAGCTACTTCTTGCATGTACATCTTATTAGCTTGGTTTCCCTTTAGCACTTGAACTGTAATTCAGTAAGAAAATAATGCCTTGATAGTTATTCTCTTTTACTTGCAGTTTCCCTTCTAGCTGAAATTGTGCAAAGTTTGATCATTAATTGTTTGCATTAAAATGGTAGCAATATCGCATTGTATAAATTGTGCTTGACCCACTAAATACGTTTAGCTTTCTTGGTAAGGAAGTAGTGATTCGACAGAGTCCAAATTGTCAGCTTAGTATAGTCTATATGAAATTGTCTTAGTACCATAAGAATTTATGTGGAGTGCATTGCATAGAAATGATTGCATAGATTCTTCTTTGTTTGCTAATATATACTGTCAAAACATGTCTTGCATGTTGTCACGTCCAGAAATTCACGAACCGGAATTTCTAAGCTGAATGTGCATTAAACCCCTATCCGGGACCAGCCATGGTACACAAACGATAATTGCTGACACACAGATCCACGTCTTACAAAAATAGGAAAGATTACAAATGCAGCGGAAAAGATAAAACGAGCTAGACTTAAAAGCTTGACTCCTGCAGCGAGGCGACTCTACTCCACAGGCATCCTTGACGGCAGCGACGAAACCAACTTCAACAAGACAACTTCAACTGGGAAGATCTTCAGCTCTGGCGTGGGGGAAGAGAGAGCAAGACTGAGTACTACCCACTGTACTCAGCAAGTCATACTGGAAGAGGAGGTATGATGCAGGATATAACCAAAGGAGGCTAAAGGTTCATTTGCGTAAAGTAGGCATTTAAAACAGTAGTTGAAAACAGTAAAACATTTGTAATAAATTAATCAATATTAACCAATCACCGCTCAACGCTACACCACGTTGAGACAGGTCCAAACCACCACCTGTACTAACCAGTTCCATTAAACTAAACTAGGGGTGAGACTAATCACGGTGAATATGTTTGATCGCCCATAACCACGGGCACGGCTATTCGAATAGTTTTACTCTAGCCAGAGGTGTACAACTGTACCCACAAGACACGATTCCACACATGTCGCCAAGCCCCGAAGTATCACCATGATACTGCAAAGGGGGAAATCGTGACAAGACCATTCGCATAACCCGCCCCTAACCATCCACACCACGCTAAGGTTTCACCCCCACCTCCTACCCCGGAGGTAGGCAGCCCCCTTGTGCGTCGCGGTGAATCCGACAGCTGGACAACCGGACACCCCGGCCGACCCAACTCCATCACGCCTGCCCTCGCCACCGGTGCCTAGGAAATGGTCGAGCTATACTACAAGTCAAGCAGTTACCCACTCCCGCTTGTGGTAAGCATGGTAAGTCTTCCAGGGTTTCCCGTGAACCAGTCCTTAACTGCCATGGGTGCGACCAACAAAACCATGCACCCACATCCCACCATTTAGTGTGTTTTAATTAACTAACACCATTGCAGTGGCACCAAACCAAAGTCATACTAAAAGCTAATGTCTACGCATTAATGTGATTCCCCATTTGTGTACTAGTTGAACTAAGCTTGGCTAAGCATTTCCTAAACCAATATCTAGTCATTTTAATACCCAAGTTATCAATGGCATAAGGTAAACGACATATGGCTGAGTAATATGACCCATCCCACGTGACATTGTAAAATAATGCAACATTTAATAGAAATGCAGGACATTTATAAATTGGGTACAATATGATCAATTGTAATGCATGACTTACCTTGCTCTCGCACTGATGAGACCACAACAACATCTTCGAGGAACCGCGGATCAACGAAACGGCCGAAATCTATGCGACAAACAAAGCACACAAGCAAAACATGCTATAAGTCTACTGAAACAGGAAATAAAAACCATTTTAAATGGATTATTTGCATTTTTCTCGATTTACTGAGACTTGAATGGACTTAAACGGAGCTCGGATGAATTAGTTATGACTTTTAGAATATTCTCTGTGTTTTTACTAATAAAGAAAACCCTTATTTGATTTATTGCACAATATATCCTAGGGCTGACGTCAGCGGCGGGGGGTTGGGGGGGGGGGGCGACGGCGCCGACATGCGGGCCCACTGGACAGTGACTCAAGGGAGAGGGGAGGGGGCGCCTGGCAAAGCGGGCCCCACTGGCAGCGGCTCAAAGGGGGAGAGAGGGGCGCCGGCTGGTGGCTCGGCATGGCTCAAGCTGGTCGGCCATGGTGAGGCGGCGGCGCACGGTCGGAGCGGCGGTGCGGCCAAAGGTGGCGGCGCACGTGGGACGGGGAGAAAAGGAGGGGGAGGGATTCCTCATCGGCGAACTCGGAGGCCGGAGCGGTGGATGAAGGCGGCGATGACGGCCCGACGAGCGGAGGGGCGGAGGGACGGCGGCGACACCTAGAGGAGGGGAGGAGAGGGGTTAGGAGCGGAGAGGACAACCACGACGGCTTACATCACCGGTCGGAGATGGACAAAAATGGAGGGCTCACCGGCGAGGCGAGGGAATCGGAGCTCCGACGGCGATTAGCGACAGCCGAGCGGTGGC